CAACAGATATAAATAATAATATAAGAATAATTGTTAATTTATCTACGTATATAATTATTTAAATTGTAAATTCAATTACCGTTGAAGCTGAGAGAATTGCATACTTAACTAATGTGCTTAGGGCCGGGGCGGCAATCCTCACTAGCGTACGATTGCCTGTTACGGCTACCCACTGACTCCCTCGAGTACTTAAGTTTCATTCTAAGTAATCTGAGAAGTCGACTCTTACCTTTAATGGGCCCTCTACGAAGGCACGTGACTGTCAGCTGTTGCATTGTCTTAGAACGCTAAAGCTTGTTTTTATATAGAGTAAGAATGAAATCAAAATACCAAACCTATTTTATCTAGAATAGGTGTTACTTACGACTCCGTCTACGTGAAATTAAAAATAATATAGCCCATGTAACTCATTGATAACACAGCTTTTTAATGGTACAAGAAATACGTAGAAAATATTTCTATTCCTGCCGCCGAGTTTAGTCATCCGGCGACACGACAGAACGCCAGGTACCATCCTCACCATCTCGATGGCAGGCATTCCACAACCGTGCGGTTTTCGCGGAACTTTCTACCCCGCACAGCCGCCTTGTGGTACGGTCTGTCCTCGGCGGTATTTCCAAACCAACACGACTTAGGGTCCTTCAAGAAGTGAGCCTATCATTTCCTCAAAGGCCGGCAACGCATCTGTAGTTCCTCTTGTGTTGCGGATGTCCATGGGCGTCGTTGACCACCTTGGTGTTCACGCCGCTCGTTTGCCCCCTTTTATATATAAAAAAATACAACTCTGTCATCTTTATAATATTAGTACAGATAAGTTACAGATTATAAACCTATGTCCTAATTTATGATAGAGAAATAATTTGTTTTTAACAGTGGTAGAGTCTCATATATACTTACTCACTACTTACTTACGCTCTCGTATACACTCCATCGGTACAAACCTAATACATGAAGGCGAGATATAGAAATATTTACGTGTTTATACAGAAATTTTATTATAGCACTTTAAATTCCAATATAGATGTGACTTCAAACACTTATAACCATCAAGAGAATTGTATAATTCATTTAGCTTAATGTAATTAAAGAATACAGTCTTTTGTATTTTTAATACAATGAATAGAGTCAACAGGCCGCCAAGTTTCCGGTGTTGAAGCTGAAAGCAAACAGGCGCTAAACAAATTATTTTTCTTCCTGTTCGACGTCGTAACCTACAAATTCAATATTCTTTATCACAACGCTGAACTTTCTCGTCCCCTCTGTTTACTAGACATAACTTGGTAGGTACTTAGCGTTTGTTGTTAAAGAAAATTTACTTTTAAATTCCATTTAAAAATAATGCTGGAAAGTTTCAACTATTTTACCACATTAGAAAGTAAATCTTAGTAGATTTAAGGAAAGAACTCTAGAATTGTTATTTGAAAGATATTTTGTTACAAAACCTTTTTCGAGACTAGCTCTCCAATGCCTATTTCAGTGTATCCTCTTATGCTCTGAGTTAATGCTGCCGTAAATAGAGAATAGTTCTCCTGCAGCCGAAAGCGATCCTCGGAAATGAAATACTACCAGTGACACTTCCAACGTATAATAACAAATCTAACTTTACGCCACAACTCTTTCTTTTCTTTTGAAGATTTTATACTTTTATAGCATCAAATTAACACATTCAAAGCCACAAACTTCAATGCTGTCTGTAAATTGTGGAAGCATTAATCGTATTAATTTAAACGACTAGCTTTCGCACGCGACTCCCTCCGCGTGAAATTAAAAAATAATAAAACACAGCCTATGTTTCTCACTGACAACGTAGCTTTTTAATGGTAAAGGACTTTTGAAATAGGCATAATAGTTTTTGAGTTATTTCATTACAATCAAAGTTTTCCTCTTTATATTAGTATAGATATAAAGCTTCACTACAACGTATTAGATTTATAAAGATTATAGAAAGGATGAAAAGTATTAACTGTCTGGTCTAACTGTTGTGTCTACTCTATGTCATAGTTTCATACAAACAAGTGGTTCTTTCGAAATGGATTCTAATTATTATGACCTTATAACCTAAATAGAGCATTAATATTGATAAAGAGAAGACAGTTGGATACAAGTGATTGTATATATTTTAGTTTGACTAACTATTCAGATACAAACGCAAGCTTTAGATACTAAATAAGGTAGATATCTGGAAACAAATTTAATTAAGATGTTTTGTGTATCGAATTTTAATTGCGAAATGTCAAGATTAGTACCGATCGAATATTTTTCCTTGATATTTCGCTTAATTTTAACTCTTATTTCTATTACTTAGTAGTCGTCGATGTACAGACAGTAATACGTATTGCATTTATTTTATCTTTTGCTACAAAATGATGGGAGACAATAGTTATTGATTACTCGTATAAATAAATGTAGAGAAAGATGTTTTCCATGTTCAATAAATGATATTCTATTTGAAATATAAACAAATAATTATCTTTGTTTTAAATTGTTTGTAACTCGACTGTGGGTAAAATTGCGTTCACTTGGGTTAAAGTTTATCGAAGTTGTGGGGAAATCGCGCGGCATTATCTAATTGCAAACATCAAACTTTTTGTCTGACGTCGCGTGATTTACATATTTTTACATCAAAGAGAATTTATAAGAGAGGTTTATTTTTAAAAAGAAACTTTGAATACTTTATTACATTCAAGAATACAAGTAAAAATAATCGCGTTGATTTATTTAACAATTTTTTTTTACTTCCCTTCTCTGTTTAGAGTTAAAACCACGGTCATATGGTAAAAAGTTAAAAATAAGTTAAATTTGTTCTGACAAAATGTTACAATGTATCTAAATATAATTCTATAAAAAAATAATTTTACTCGTACTGTATATTTTGATTGCTTTTATAACAAGGAAAACTGTAACTATGTGTTAGCTGCGGCCCATATGCGTTTCGTGTCGCACACGTAGTTGAATGGTCGCTCGGACCGGTCGCGTTCCAAAGATATTGTACTTTCATAAAAAACTAAGTTAAAAATTCTATTTTCAATTTATAATATAATTCAATAGATTCTGTGTATGACTAATTTTTGTAAAATAGTGGAAAAAGTGTAAAATACAACTTTGAAATAAATTCAATAAAATCGTTATCGGTTATTAGTAACAATGCGTAAGTTAGTTCGTTTGGTTGTATTAAGTGCTGCGATTGTGTTGGCGATTGTTCTTATAAGTCATATGGACAGACCTGAACATGCCAGGATTCCAGTAGTAAGGCAAGCGCGGGGGATACCGGCATACGAGTATCGAGTAACCAATGAACCCGATACTTCCGATATCGTTCATAAACGACAACAAGTTGTTCAGGTATGCAAAAGTTATAGGTAAAAAATAATTATATAAATACTAGCTTTGGTCCGCAACTCCGTCTGCGTGGAATAAAAAAATAATCAGTAGCCTAGTGTTCTTTCAGACTATCCTCTACGTCTATGCTCAATTTCATCGACATCCTTTCAGGCGTTTAGGCTACTAACTCTAACAAACATCCATCCATCTAAAATTTCGTATTTATAATATTAATAAGATTAGTGAAATTAATTGCCACAAACAGTCATCTTCTTCTTGCAATTTTAACAATTCTGTAGTAAGGGTATCACTTAGTGACCAATTATGACTTTGAGTGAAATACAAATTGTTATGTCACGCAAGTCATATACAACTTTGTGGCAAAGCCTTGTATTGCATTTTGTGGTTTGAAGAATTACCGCAAGATGAAATACTATTTATAACGGATCTATTCCACATATTTTATCTCTTTGTCATCTACAACTTATAGTTTATTGTCATAGATTAATTTATAGAGAGTATGTTTTTGTATTTGGTGAAAATAACTGTTTTAAGTTTAACACATCTTGAATGACCCCAAATTGGCCTCACACTTCGATATAACCGGCTATTAATAATTTATACATATTTAAAATGTATGATATATTTATGTTTATTCTCAATAGCACTAATACAACACTATATGCGTCATGTAATTCCGATGTTTTTAAGGAAAATGTTGCGAGTTTTGCTTTTACATACCTTTTTCTGTTAAAGCACCTACCTGGAAAGAATGTTAAAGAATGTTCTAGAATAAATATTTGGTATTCATAAAAGTGAACTATTGTTTTACTACGGAGTACATAGTTTGAGTCAATCCCGATTACGTCACGTTCTTTTAACTTGGCTTTTTAATTACTGCGTTTTGCAATCAATAGTGATTGTTTGCTTTTTACAAAAGGCTTAACTATAAAATTCCTTCAAACGTTAAGTGACGGCTGCCACACGTAAATAGAAATAATCGAAACAAAAGGCTTATTCCCTCTTTTATTCGAAGTATTTTAGGCCTGCATACGCTCAGTTTGAATGTTCAATTAAAACTGAGCGTATGTTGTTTAGAGCCAGAAATTATTCACTTTTATTGAACAGAACTCAGCCAAGTAACATGGGGACTTTAATAGTTAAATTTAGTTTCGTCTAGTTTTGAAAGTCGTCCATCGTTTTGCAAGTCACGGGCGTCCTCGTCTGAAAGTTGTCGCAACCTAATAATTAATGGGCTATAGGAAAGTCCGATATCCTTTCATTAGCGTCGCCGCCCCCGGGGAGCCAAGATTAAAACTTTACCCCTGGTAACCGACGCGCTGCGCCATTTTACAGATTTTTAATATGCCTTTGAGATCCAATAGCGCGGCGCTTTGAAATATGTTTTAACGAGAAAATTACTTTATTGCCGCTGTTGAAAACACGGCTTTTAATTTTCATCTAGATTTTGACTTTAGCGATAGGTGTTAGTTTTTTAGGTTATATTTTTTTTACAATATAGTTGATGTAACCTCTCAGTTACTGACGTTGCTTAGACAGCATAAACAAGTTGCTGCCCTATGCGCCCCTTGGTGAGATATTTACCTACGCTAAGGGACTGAAATTTCTTCAAACGATTGTTGGTGTGTTACTAATCTCATGTTTATCTTAATTTCCAGATGATGCGTCACGCGTGGAACAACTACAAGCTATACGCGTGGGGTAAGAATGAACTGAAGCCGATATCGAAGCGCGCGCACTTGTCGAGTGTGTTCGGCGCGGGAGACCTCGGCGTGTCCATCGTCGACGGTCTGGACACCCTGTACCTCATGGGCCTTACTGATGAGTTCAAAGAAGGACGGGACTGGGTCGCTGAACATCTACACTTCACTGATATAGTAAGTTAAATAAGTAATGTCCCATTTCTGGGTTTAAAAACCCTTTTCCATAAGCCTAGTCTCGAAACTTCAATATCTACGAGTAAACAAATGTTAAAAGAGGATTTCATATTGTAATAATTTTAATACGTATTTTTTTCTCATACGATATGAATGTTTGGTAGTTGGAGGGTCACAAGAATGACTTTTATTTTCATGCTGACCTCATTAATTGCAAAAAGGGTCGCGGGTTACGCATGTATGCTATAGAAATATTTTCCAAAGCTTGCGAATAAAAGGCTAATTATTTTGCAGATCATTTCTGACGTCACAACATAACCTAATTTTAAGATTGTTTTTGCTAAAGAAAAATAGCTATCAATGATTTTATTCTAAAACTAAAAAAGAGTACTCTCAAATACATTACAGCAGTGTAAACTTAGTTCTCTGACATTAAGCAATTATAATGTTTTGTTTCCAGGACTCTGATCTGTCAGTATTCGAGACTACGATCCGATTCGTCGGCGGTCTGCTGTCGTGCTACGCGCTCACTGGCGACGTGGTGTTCAGGGACAAGGCTGCCGAGGTGGCGGATGCTCTGCTACCTGCCTTTGACACACCTACTGGACTACCATTCTCACTCATCAACCCCTCCACTAAGGTAACTGTAATGGCCAGTTTCCCAACTACTTTTAATTGGTTAGCGTTTTTGGCTCGATATCTTTTTGAAATGCGTTTCCGAACTACGTAGCTTGAGTTTTACTCTAATGAAATTTAGGTCAACCTAACACTAATAATTCACTAGGTAACGATCAAATAAATGGAAACTTCAGAAACCTAGCATAATAAACTTTATGTGAGTGGAAGAAAGTCAGCGCATCCTCTTCACTAAAAGTCGTAGCCTAAAATCGTATTTTGCGTATCCCTTGCGAATTTGCCTTTGAGTTTAAGATGACGCTATCTAATTGCCATTTCTAATATTCGATAATTCTCGAAATTAGTTTTAGGGTTATTCATAAAACCTATAAGTTGAAGTTCATTATATCCGTATTATAACCCTTTGGTGCCTTCCATTTAGATGAAGTCGAAGTATTTTGACATCGTCGAATATTCCTTAATTAAACACTCGCCCTGAATGTTAACGAGTACAACTTTGCGGCTTTGAACGATAGTTAAATGGATTTGTGGACGGTTAGGGTTTTTCAAGCAAAATCAATTTAGCTGACGAAAAATGTAATATCTCGTAAAACTAATAATATGTAACTCTTTTCGCATGAATGGTCAACTTACGTTAAATAATGATTAATATTGAACATAGGAATATTTTTATTCCAGGCTAGCAGACAGTATCATTGGGCGGGACCCAACAGTATACTTTCAGAGATCGGGACTTTGCACATGGAGTTTTCTTATCTCAGTGACGTTACCGGTCGTGATGGTAAGGCATTTATTCAAACAATTATAAAAAAAGATATCTATTTCTGGTATAATTAATAGCAGGCGTCTTACTAAAACACTAATTTTTTTTATCTGAGATTTTTAAGTGATTGGTATCTAATGATTTATTGAAATAGTTTACAGAAAGAAGGTGGATCGTATCCGAGAGGCGCTGTACAACATCGAGAAGCCTGGCGACCTCTACCCGAACTACATCAACCCTCGCACCGGACAGTGGGGACAGAGTGAGTACGATTCTTAAAATAAAATATCAAGTACTAGCTAATATCGGCTCCGACCGCGTATAATTAAAAAAGTGTACAAAAGTGAGAAGCACAAGTGTTCTTGCGACTATCCTGTACATCTATGTCAAATTTCATCAAAATCCGTTCAGCCGTTTAGGCTACAAACTTTAACAAATATCCAGACATTCATCCATTCATCTAAATTTTCTGAACTAATTCTTAATTGCGTTAAAATGCTTTACGCTGCAAGCCACACACAACTTGCACAAGTGTGTTTGAAGTCGCCGACAACGCCATCTAGCGGTGACCAGTGCGGTTGTGTAACAGGGCACATGTCGCTGGGCGCGCTCGGCGACTCCTTCTACGAGTACCTGCTGAAGGCGTGGCTGGTGTCGGGGCGCGCGGACGAGCAGGCGCGCGAGATGTTCGACGTGGCGATGCAAGCCGCGCTCGACAAGATGCTGCGCGTCTCGCCCAATGGACTCTCCTACCTCGCGGAACTTAAATACGGTCGAGTTTTGGAGGAAAAGATGGATCATTTGTCCTGCTTTGCTGGTACGTGTTTAAAATGAAACCATATTAGTTTATAATATATTTATTTTCTTATTAAGTAACACATTTTACATGATTTAAAAAATAAAATAAAACATATTGCACTCCCGACAGCGAAATCCGATGATACAGCAACCAGTGGTCTTGGCTTAATTAGATTTAATTGTTAATGTTACTTTTTAACTGTTCTGTTATTGTTCTAGTACTATCGGTAAATCTGTTTAAATACATTTCTGTTAAAACAAATTTATTATATAATTTGTTACAAAAATTATAATGTTTACGTAGGAAGGTTGAGATTACACACTAGATTTAAGGCTCATCTTATGAGCTATGGTCCGTCTTAGAGCTACAGATTATGTAAAGGCTTTTTACATGTATATGGATAGTATATACTCATAGTATACATGTACACTATATCTTTGCAGGTGGTA